GCGGATGATGTGATTCCCAAGAGTGCACTGCATTATGAAATAGGGGTCACCCAAACCCTCTCGTTCCCACTGACCTTAATAAGTTCATGTGAGCACATCAGCTAGTGGTTACTGGGTTCTGTGAGGACACTTCAGAAAAAAAAGAGGGAAAAGGCCAAACAGGAGGTTGGTGTCAGGCAAAGGTTGCACCAGTATGAGTGGGGATTATATGTGCCACCTCATGGCAATGATAAATGAGCAAAGTCCAATGTTTATTCATCCTGAACTAAAAGCCAGAGAGGGAGTGGATTTGTTATAAATCAATTAAGCCTTCAAGATCCTATTTCATATTAGGACACAGAAGTTGTCCGGAAAGGGTCTTCTGAATCAGACAGCTTTTTGGTACCAGCCATGAAGTTCTTTGCATATGAGCACTTATCTGACTCCTGATTCCCAGTCCTGGTTAATATCTACTTTCCTTTTGTTGGTCCATATATCACTTGCATGACAGAACCAAAAGATCTAAGGCCAGAATCCAGATATCACCTTTCCACTTGCCCACATGTAATGGTTGAGTTCTGTGACAAAATCTGTGCAAAAGAAGCATGTAACTCTTTCTCCATGGCCACTGCAATGGCCACCATGGTTCAGGCCACTATCACCATCACCTGACTGGTTATAATATCACTAAGTGCTCCAGATAATATTATTGACATTAAAACTTAAAAATAGATGATGATATAAATTATAATTAGGCATTTGTAAATACCCAAGCAGGTGCCTTTGGACGAGAGGTAAAAGCCTATGTAGACAGATGAATTTGAGACTTATGCTGAGTGACCAGTCAGAGTCAGACACAATGCACGAATAACGTGCGCACTTGATAATGAACAGATGTGGTTGTGTCTAATATGAATCTTCATAATTCAAAACGTCGTGTGTTGTAATGGATATACTTAATGGATTTGTGTGAAGTAAAGAAACATTTTCTGAATTTTGGTGCTTATAATTTTTGTTGATTTTGTGTGCACCATCATTCTTAACTGTCATCATTTTTGTCACCACTTCTGTCTCACAAGTTTTCAATTAACACTTGATTTAATGGATACTCTGTGAAGCCCAGCCTGCAAGAGGCTGTGACTTGGGTGAAGAATGCATGGGATAAAATCACCAGCAGCTGTGTTGTCAGTGGACTGTTAAGCAGGCTACATGGACAAGAAGAGCTCATTATGGAGACCTCTATTGCTGGACACAAGAGATTGGGGCCCATGGTTCTAAAGGAAATTGAGTTGCAAGAAATTCAGGCTGGAATTTGGGGTTTGGAAGTTATGATGATGTTCCAGACTGTCATCACCATCCAGAAGATAACATGACTGTATTTGAATAAACATGGGTTTTCGTACATGAATAAATGTAGATTTTTGCATATGAATAAAAGTAGATTGTTATACGTGAAAAAATAAGACATTCTCCGAAAATAAGCCCTATTGTGTCTTTTGGAACAAAAATTAATATAAGACTCAGTATTATTTTCAGGGAAAAACAGTATTTAAGGTTAGAATATGGATAATTCACAATCAAAGTGCATACTTCACTGTACACAATAGATTGACTTGATTAGAATTCAGTGTCTCTAAACCTTTAACTAAAAGTGATGGAGAACCACTGGAAGGCAAAACACAGAGCCTGTGATACCAAAGCAGTCCCCTACAGCCAAAGGGCCAGGGACAATGGCTCTACACGTGAGCACAGGTGGTGTGGCAGATGGCAGCCAGGCTTCTTCATGACTAGCAGCCAAATACAATTCACAACTGAGACACTCTGGCTTCACCTCACACCAAAATATATCTCTGACACTCCCAGCCAAGCCGGCACTTCAGCTTGAGGGGTATCTACTTGAGAAAGCCTGTCCAGCCTTCACAGTCTAGTTTACATTCACCCTCAAGGAATTTGTTTCTCTCCTTTGAAGAGGGTTTTAGTTTGCACTCACATTCTCTATGCTTAGTTCTTTTACAACACCTGTCTCCCCAAAGCATCTGTAAGCACTGAGGAGGCAGGGACATTGCCTGGTTTTGTTCCCAGCAATGGGCACATACATAGGCACTCTAAAAATATTTTTAGTGAATGATGATTTTTTTTCACTTCTTACCTATTCATTGCCATGTTTACTTAAGAATTATGCACAGCTCAGAGTACAAGTCATAAACAAAATTCTCTTAAGATCATGATACACAGTATACTATTGCTATTGTCTAATTATTTTGTCATGAAATTTTGTTTTATTTTTCATAGAAGAGTGTTTTTAGTATTTTATTAATATCTACTTGTATTACATTAAAATAAAAAAAATTTAAAAGAATTATACACGACCCTTTATCAGTCTTGAACTCATACTCAACCCATTCCTTTTAGTTATTCCTCTAGCGAAGTGGTGGTGAACCTATGGTATGAATGCTGGAGTGGGCACACAGAGCTCTCTCTGTCAGCCCACAAGCCAAGTCCCCCCAGCATTGCCTCAGCAGCTGAGCATCTGATAACAGTGCAAAAAGAACACCAAATGCAAACTTTACCTTTCAATAACAAGCTGTTTGTATCATTGAAAGCTCTGTTATTGTTTTTCTTTTAAGACTAAAGTTGTTAATGTATGAGTTGTTTTTTCTAAACTAAAACCTCAGTATTCAGGTTTAATTGCAGTGTTGGCACTTTGCGATAAATAAGTGGGTTTTGGGTTGCAGTTTGGGCAGTCATTTCTGAAAGGTTTGCCATCACTTATTTTCTAATCCTCTCCTCCTTGCCTCTTTCACAAAGTCTTCTTACAAGGGGCAGCTCCCGTCAGCCTGTCTGACATGTGTGGCACCCAGTTCAAGGTGGTGCTACACAGAAAAATGCACAAAATGAAGAAAAATGTTATGAGGCAGTAGCTGTGAGATTGTTTAAACCAGGTTACACAGCTCCTAAAAAACCTGTTAGTTTAAAAATAGTAATAATTCCAACCATTTTGTTATATCATACAAATGTGGATGGATTTATTATTATTATTATTTTACTTTATGAGTTTTTGGTCCAGCATAGAAAAACTCCTTAGAAAGAGCTGATTGTGCTGATCACTGGTATGCAGCAAGCACATGTATGTTCTCTTAGCAAAATTATCCCAAGGCTGTTCCTCAATGACTGAAACCCACTCCAGGATTCTTCTCCAGTGAAGGCACTTGGCTGGCTCCTCCCTCACTACATCCTGGTTCCCCTCCAATTCCCTCTTCTGCATGGTCCTCTCCCACCTGTCTGGCTTATAGTTATGCCCCCAAGCCCTTCACAGGGCCTCTCAGAGGCCCAGGGTCCTGAAGAGGGAAAACTGAGACATAGCCCTGGGGAGCCTGGGGTGGGGCCGGAAAGGCAGTAGAAATGTGTCTAAGTGGCAAAGTGCTGCTTAATTCCTGCTGGCCTGGGAATTACCCTGATACAGCTAATGAGCCATGTTTATCCTGAGACAACTTGTCCTAAACTTACCCCTTTCCGATCATCATCTTTGTTACATTAGAATTAGAGACAAGTTCTGCTTCAAAATAACTCCTAGAACAGTTTTTATATTTTATTTTCACATCGAAAACCAGTCAGATTTGCTTCAGCCTCAAAAAACATGTCTGCACAAAATTAAATGAATGGGAGCAGCCAGTGGCTCCACTCCAACAAATAATAGGAATAGGAATAACTGCCGTTTTAAATTCTGGGCAGTCGGAGCATTTCAGGTAACATCCTTCTTTAATTCCCCTCAGTATCAGACTGCCTCCACTGTCCTTGGAAAGTCCAGTTGAAGAGAAAGAACAGCTGGGCACAGAACCTGTCAGGGACACTTCCCCAGCCCGCCTTTCTCCAAACCGCTGGGAGAGCCACGGCAAGTACAGGAGAAACATGTCATTAGTGGGCTTCCACCCGAGGACACTGGGGACAGCAGAGATGACCAGAGGAGGAACCCTGGAGATGAGGAAGGTGGGCAGTGGTGGTCGCATTGTTTCTTTCTGGTACTTTCAGTAGGCAGGAGGTGGATAGAGAATCAAAAGAAAGGACAGGACAGGCAGAGAAGGGAGCTTGTAGGTGGAAAAAGAAAGGACCCATAAACAGACACCAACACTGCACTGTCTCTAGACGCTAAACATTTGTAACATTGTTTGATTTTAAAAACTCATAGCAATTGAAAACTGTAATATGAGACTCCATTAATCTGGTACTGTTTTTCTTTCTCCCCTCCCCAAGTAGGCTGGTGACCAGGCCTGGGGACTGACACCCTGATTTGCTGCCACCTAGGCTCAGTTTCCAAGGTAGGCGGCCTGGACCAGAAATCCTGCGGGAGGACTCACGGCCCAGATGGCTGGGTACTGTCGCTGTGACCCTCTCTTCCGTATGCTTTAGGAAGCGACTTATCCTTATTCACACACAGAAAAGCAGTTCTTCCTGACCATGCCAGGCAGAAATAAGGCGGAGGCACAAGACACAGCCCCCAGGTGCACATTCGCGCACACTCCTGCTCATCCACTGCCTGGATGGGAGGGAATCACGCACAGTCGGGCTCTGCGCCCTGGCTCCCCCCACCCCTGCCCCGCGCCCGGTGAGCCCAGGTTTGAGCTGCTCCGTGAACGCCCCTCGTCAGGTCCCCAGCCCACGGCTCCCGGACCCCTCCAGAGCCCTCCCTCACGGGGCAGCTTTCCGCGTCCCTTGGTCCTACCTGGGGCCCCTGCCTGGGCTCCCTCGCACAGGGGCAGCTTTGTCTCCTCGGGTCCCCGCGAGGCTGGGCTCGGGGCTGAGCTCAGGACTGCCAGGCCGAGGTCGCGATCTTGCAGAGGAGCACCCTACCTGGCGCTCCCTGCGCCCGCCCCCGGCCCGGCCGCCGCAGCCCCGCGCCCAGCTCCCCGAGCTCCGCCCCGCCCCCCGCCGCTCCCAGCCAGCGCCCCGAGCAAAGCCCGGGGCCCCTGGGAGCCCACCTGTGGGCCGCCAGTCCACCCGCCCCGGAAGCTCGGCTCCCTCACCGGATCTCCAAGCAAGTGCAGCCCAGCGGACGCCACCCGGGTTGGGAGCTGTGGGCGCGTCTTCCGTCCCCGGGGCCACCGTCGGGTCTGGTGCCACTGTTCCTCCGGTGTGGCTCCAGGGTTCCCAGGTCTCGGATGAATGAATCCTCAGATCCTTTCCCGGCGGTCGAGGAGACTCCTTTCCCCTTCCTTGGACGGGAAAGAGGCTTAGGATGTTGGGGGCTTAGGATGCCACCACCCACCTCTGTGCCAGGGGTGGGACCCTTTTTCCCTAGCCAGAGGCTGGAGAGTCACGGTATAATGCATGTACGACTCGTGCCCCAACTCTTGCTCTCCAAGACTCCGGTGCGCTTCGCCAGCGCGGGCGCCCGCACACAGCTCCTCTCCCACTCCGGCGCCAAAGGGTGCGCACGCCTCCCCGCTGGCCGCAGGCGCCCCCAGCCTCGCCCTCCACCTACCCCGCACGCGCTCCTAGGGTCAGCGTCTGTCCTCAGAGCCTGGTTCAGAGCCTGCCACCCATCGCGATGTTTGTATTTCCTGAAGAAGTGGAAAGTTAATTTCTTTGGCAGAAAACTGGTTTTTGCTTTTTCTCATTCAAAGCCTATTTACTCCTTTAGGTAGGGCGTTTGCTAGACTCCATGAACATGTGCTGGCTCACTCCCCCCAACCTCAAAATTCCACACTTGGAGAAATTTCTAGAACAAAATAATGCACAGGGCACAAATGTCTGTGACAGAATCATTTGTGACTGAAAATAATAATATTAAAAATCACAAAAATCAAATGAAGCTAAACTGTTAATAAATAAATTATGTTAAATAAATTTAGGTAGAGTGACTTAATGGTATATTACATAACCCTTTTATGGCATTGAGACTAAAGTGCCTCAAATTCTTTTTAGAGCAAGGAGATAGCATTTATTTGTAAGGCAGAGAAAGGGGAGGGAGAAGAGAATAAGAACATTAAAAAGTATTTACAAAATAATAATGAGAAACAAAAAAATTAAAAAGAAAATTGTACAGTAACCATGCTGAAAAACTTCAAATTTGAGTGCAGATTTTTCTCTGTAAAGGTGCAGAGAAACACTCACTTGATGGGGCCCTTGGGTGTTAAATGAGATATTTAAGACAAATGCCCCTCATAGTGGAGGCTCAGGCAGAAAGCCTCCCATTTCCTTTCTTCAGAGAAACCCAGACTCATAGCTAGTGTCAAATACATCCTCCTCATGGCCCAGGTCCTCCCACATGGCTACCTTCCCTCTAATGCAGGGAAAGGGAGAGAGTTGAGCACATGTTCAGGCCACAGGGTAAGTCAAAGGGTAGAATCTAGCTAATAGGAATAAATGCCAGTCTTCTCTGGGGTCCAAACACCCAACAATACAAGTTCACAATGGGTGATTTAACTCTGTAGAAGTTTTATCAAAATATTTTAGAGGATTTAGTTGATGACAAGCACTCCTTTGTCAGTGGCCAAAGGGCTGAATATTCAACTCCAAAAGCTGAATGATGTGGTAATCTAATACTCTTCAGTGGCCACCTCGAACCTAGGCATAATGTTCAGCGTGTGGCACTGTCCTCAAGAAAGAATCACTCTGAAGGGCCATGTGAGTCCCATTTCAAAGAGGAAGAAACAAGCATAGAGTTTACAGTGCTAGAAAGCTGCAGAGCCAGGACTTACACCCGGCAGCTCGACCATAGTCGACATGTTTGCCAACATGTTCAGCATGGACATTTTCCATGTGAGATGGTTTTGGGTGACACATAGACAGTAAAAAAAAAACACCAAAAAACAGATTGCAAGGTGAAAAAAATTGTGCCCTTTTCAATTCTCTTGCTCCCACGGATTATGTCAAGGAAGAAGTATCATTTTTGGTATTTGTCTGTAAGCCTTTCTAACCTTTGCTAATCTGTTCTAACAGTGAGCTTGCCTCTTCTCAGAGCCTTTGCTAGGCAACAGCTCCTAAGTAGAATTTAATATCCTCACTTTCTCTTCCGTCTCCTATTATGCCTTATGCTGTTAATTTCTAATTGATACAGTTTTCCCACTAATAAGGTGATGGAGCTTCCATTTGAGGTAAATTTACTTAGGTATGAAAAATAGGTAATTGAAAAGAAAGATATAAAGGAACTAGTAGGACCAGCACTATTTGAAATTTGGGGACTACTGCCCCACATTCCACTAAGACTGATGTATAGAAGGGACGGTGAGGCAGGTGTCAGTCCAAAATGAATGGGGACATTCTAACAATCTAGGCTGTCTGGGAAGGTGAGAAGAGGGGAAGCATTGCTAATGGCATGTCCTTCCCTCCAGAGGATGAAGCAGAGGTTAGATGCCTGCTGCTGAGGACTAATGCCATGGGAACTTAATGTTATGGCCTAGTGGCTTTAAAGTTCCAGTTAACCAGGAGAATCTGATGACACCAGAGCTTCCCAGGGACCTGACCTCTGGAAAGACAGATTTGGGGATAAATTGCATTACCTCCCATTGAGGACAAATCCCAAAGGAGAGTTCCAAGGAATCTTTGAGTGATGGTAGTACCACTGTGACACTTGTGTAATTTAACAGGTTGTTAGCGGAGTCAATGTGGGGCTTGTGACTGGTATTTTGGGGGACTGAGTCCTCACCCTGTGAGTTCTGAAGTTATCTCCAGGTAGTATCACAATGAATTAGAGAACACTCAGCTGATGGCTGCTGCAGAGCTCCTTGCTGGTGGAGAGAAATCCCCAAACCTCTTGGGGTCAGACCAGTTTTCTATGTTGATTGTGGTGTGAGGGTAAAGGAAAAACAGACCTTTTGTTTTTCCTAGACACACACAGCCCTTAACTACTGAGAACAGAAATTTTCCTATGTCTTAGTTACTTTCTTGCCTCTGGGATACAATACCTGACACCCATGGATTACATGAGGAATTTATTTTGGCTCAGTTTGCAGAAGTTTCAGTACATGGCAGGGCAGGGCAGCATGGCAGAGGAGAAACAGCTCGTGGCATGGTGGCAGGAAGCAGAGAGAGAGAGAGATCAAGGGAGAAGAGAGGGAGTTATATCCTTCCAGGACTAATTCACTGATGAGTATCAAGCCCCTGTGATCCAACCACCTCCTGAAAGGTCCACTTATGAGTGCATGAGGCTTGGAGAAGTTATTTAGGTATAAACCATAATACCCTAGCAGCTTATTTGGCAGGTAGAGAGACAGTTCTCCAACAGCCCCACAGAAGAACTCACTGCTTCTGCTGGAATTAACTGCATAAAAGGGAAATGTTCAATTGCCAGGCAGCTCTGTGGGTTAGAAAGTTCTATGTGGCATCTGTATTATTCAGCTTTCCTGTCACTGGGATACAATAGCCAACACCTATAATTTAAAGGAGGAGAGGTTTAATATGGCTCACGGTTTCAGGAGGTTTAGTCCATTGTTGGCTAGATCCAAGGCACAAACATTATGGCACAAGGGTGTGGAGGAGCACAGATGCTTATTTTTGGTGGCTGGAAAGCAGAGGAAGAAGTGAAGTATCAGACACAGATACCAAGGCCACAGTGCCACAATCCACCCAGACACACCCAGAAATGTGCCCCACCAATTCCTCTGAGTGGATCCCAAAGCCCATCTTCAAGTCCTGTTGAATCAATCTCTTTTCTCCCACCTCTACCACTACTAGTCCTAGCCAAGCTAGCATTATCTCTGCCTTAGAAAACTTGATTATTCTCTGTGCATCCACCCTTGCCTTGTCTAATCTTCTCAAAGCAGCTGGAATGATACCTTTAACATTTAACTTGCATTAGATCATTTCTCTGCTTAAGATTCTGTCATTTATAGTGGTTTCCTACTTCACTCAGTAGATCCTGTAAATCCACAGCCCATTAAGCCCAACACCTTGTGGCCCCAGCTATTCCCTAATGATCCACTCCCTGATCTCAACTCCCTACACCTTCCTTGGTGTCACACACACTGATTTCTTTGATGATATTTGCATATACCCAGCATATCCTGCTTTAGAGTCTTTTCCTTTTCTTCTCTCTATCTGCAAGCCTGAGAGAGATCAAAGGAGGAGGGAGATAGGCTCTTCCAGACCACGCCCCAGTAAGCCACTTCTTCAACCAGGTTTCACATTCCAGCATCACATTTAGCTGTAAACTCATCAGTGAACTGCTCTTCTCCTTCGCTTCTTCTGCTCTCTACCCAGTGTCACCTGTTCTAAGGCAATCCTTTGTGATTTCTATCCTCTAGTGACTTATCCTACTTTCACTAAATTTCATCCCTATTTTCTAACCTTGCTTTGCTCTTTTTAAAAGGATATTGTAAGCTTTACTAATAGTTTGAGAGCAATAAAATTGGGTTGCAGATGGGGGTCACAGAGAGGTTAGAGAAAACCTCAGCACAGGAACCAACTTAGAAATGAATATTAAATACTCTCTTCTTTAAAAACACCATGAATTTCTCACTGGCTGCCTTTCTCCTGGATTTACTACAGTGTTTTCTTACCTTCTCACTGACACCCTGTCTACCCTCAGGTTACTCTAAGAAATTCAAATAGGGGCCTATCTTCTTGTTTTGTTTTTAATTAATTAATTTTATTAAAATCTATGTACATTTAGAATCTGTACAACTTGAACAGCACTGTAGAAACTCTGGTTATATTCTCTTCCATTTTGTAAAACCCCAGAGAGTAACCACCATCCTTATTTAAACATCATACATCTATAGCAAATACTTTTTTTTAAAGGTATCTAGTTTTGTTTTTATTCAACAGCATTGGTGAGATCCAACTATATTGTGCAGATTTTCCTTTTCGCTGCCATATATTATTGCATTGTATGACTATATCACAATTTTTCAGTCCATTTAACTATTGATGGACATTCAAATTGCTGCTATAGACATTCTTGTGTTTCTTGGTTACATGTACTTGCATTTCTATTGGGCAATATATAGGAGTAGAATTACTGAGTTAAAGTGTACATATGTTAAACTTTAAAAGATATTGCCAAAGAATTTTCCAAAGTGGTCATACCAATTTATATTTCCATCAGCAATAAGTGAGAGTCTATAACATGTCCTTACCAGTAGTATAAGTCACTAGTGAAAGAAAATAAAAAATTCTTAAATGGAAGGATATGCCAAGTTTGCAGATTGCAAATCCAAAGATTATAAAGATGACCCTTTTCTCCAAAATTGATCTATAGATTCATTGTATAGGCTGTAGGGAAAAAGGAACCCTTTTACAATGTTGGTGGGAATGTTAGCTAGTACAACCACTATGGAAATCAGTATGGGGATTCCTCAAAAAACTAAAACTAGAAATTCCATTTGACCCAGCTATTCTCCTTCTAGGTATCTTCCTGAGAAAGTTAAAGACATCATATTACAGTGACACATGGATACTCATATTTATAGCAGCACAATTCATAACAGCTATATCTCAGAAGAAGC